CCACATCCCTCCATCATCCCACATCCCTCCATCATCCCACATCCCTCCATCATCCCTCATCCCTTCATCATCCCACATCCCTCCATCATCCCACATCCCTCCATCATCCCGCATCCCTCCATCATCCCTCATCCCTTCATCATCCCACATCCCTCCATCATCCTGCATCCCTCCATCATCACGCATCCCTCCATCATCCTGCATTCCCTCCATCATCCCTCATCCCTCCATCATCCTGCATCCCTCCATCATCCCACATCCCTCCATCACACCTCCATCCCCACTTCGCCATCCCAGTGCTGTAGCCCTCCTGGGGACCACACGGCCCCACTCATGTCCCACAGCCATCAGGGAGAGCTCTCTCCTGATGAGCGCAGATTGCTTTCATCCAAACCCGATTTTCTGGCAGGGTTTCAGGCATCCCGGGGGGCTCTCCCGCCTTCTACCGAGCAGGGGGAAAGATCTGAGCTGTTTTCTCTTAATTGGTTTAATTTATTCAGCGGCGCAGATGTAAAACATTTTGTTATTGGAGATAATTCCAGTTTTCTGAAGTCGGGAATCAAAGGCGGCGGCTGCAGGTAGTTGACAGTGAGATAAATTGAACGGAGCACTTTAAAGGCGAATCAAAGTGACGGGGTGGAACAATGCCCGCATTTGCATGGAGCAGCTTTTCGCTGACGCCGATAATTCCGCCGTGTGCCGGCGCGTTCCCCGCACTCACTCCTTTCTCTCCCCCCCCCCTCCCCCCCCGGTGCGCGCCGTGCCCGCACCCAGGTCGGCTCCCACGGATGTCCCCGAGGGCGAAGAGCGCCCGGTGTCGGTGTTGAGCAGCCTGAGCTATAGGAAGCGGCCGAGCCTGAAGGACTCCATAGGCGGCCGCGGGGACGAGCAGACGCTGTTCAGCGCGCTGAGCGAACGGGCGGCCTCCCCGGAGCGCGCTGCCCGCCGGGCGCGGGGCGCAGAGCACGAGGACCGGGCGGCCGTCATCGCCCGCGCCTTCGCCGACGCCAGCGGCCGCGCTCGGCAGGGGCTGGGCAAGCGCTGGTCGCTGTCGGCTGGCGATGGGGAGAAGGGCTCCGTCGCCTCCGCGCCGGTGAGCAGAGCCTCGTCGGCCTCGTGGCGCGCGCCGGAGGATGGAGACGAAGGGGACGAGGCGTGCTCGGTGCTGAGCTTCGCCCTCTCCAGCCCCGGCAGCCTGCGGAGCCGGCGCAGCGGTGCCGGCGGTCGCCCCGATTCGCGGCTTTCGCTCGCCCGCAGCCTCCTGGATGAGGCGGATGAAGCATCCCGCGGGCAGCCCCCGCTGGGCCGCAGCTTCTCCGTGCCCCCGCGACCCCGCAGCGCCGCCTCCGAGGACGGTCCCCCCGGGGACGCCCGCCCGGTGGGGCACCGCTCCTACCTCGACCCCGACCTGGAGGCTGCCATCCAGGAGGTGCTGAGCTACCGCTCTCCGCGGGCCGGGGGTCTCTCCAGCCCCGACTCCGGGGACGACGGGCGCAGCGTCCGCAGTGTGCGCAGCGTGCGCAGCGCGGCGCCGCTGGGTGCCGCCGACCGCCCCGGCAGCCTCCGCCGCTCCGCGTCCGCCCTCGAGGTGTCGCGTCCATCCCGACGCTCCGGCCGCCGCCGCAGCAGCTCTTCCTCGGAGTCGTCCTCCTCCTCGGAGGAAGAGGAGGAGCGCAAGAGGAAGAGCGCCAAGAAGAAATCCAAGAAATCCAAAAAGAAATCCAAGAAGAAGAAGAAAAAGTCATCCTCCGAGTCGGGCTCAGATTCCTCCTCCGATTCCTCCTCCGGTTCCACCGTCTCCTACCGGAGCACCTCCAGTGTGAAGAAGGGCCCGCGGGCAGCCGGGGGGGAGGAGCCGGTGCGCCCCGACCGGGCCAGGAAGGAGGAGAAGAGGCGCAAGAAGCAGGTGGACAGCCTGATGATGAAGTACCTGTACCGGCCTGAGAGCGACTGAGGCAGGAGGTGGGAGCGGTGTGTGCCTGCAGCATGACCCGAGTGTGCCACTAACCCCTAACCGTGCCCAGGCACCGTTCCGAGCATCCCTGCTGAGGCCACACGGTGGTGGGAATGCTGCTCCATCCTTGTGCCGTGGGGTTGGACTCCGAGAAGTGCTAATCCCGTCCTGGAGTGGCTGCATGGATCTCTGATGGAAGTTTGGGGTGGGCAGATGGGGCTGCGGCTCCGGGAGGAGCAGTGGTACTAACAGCACCCAGTGTGGGGTGCAGATGTGGGATGACATGGGTGAGTAGATGGAGTCGGATGGTTATTGGAGTGGTTACTCCAGTCCTGCACCCCATCTGTGTGGGAAGGGGGCTGCAGTCAGCTCTCTGGCATCCTGGCAGTAAGTGGTGAGTGGGTTCGGTTGCTTCCTATGGCTTCTGTAGGAAAAGGGCTGGAGGAGGTGGAAAAATCCTTTGGGAATGCTGTTGGATCACCATCCCAGCCCTTGGCCAGGCTGTCGCATTGCAGGGCACTGGCTCAGGGCTGGGACGCATCTCCATCCAGGACGTGCAGCCATGGCCAGTCACCCATTTGAGCCCAGACCCAATGTTTTTTGGCACTGCCACCACTCAGTGCTGCTCTGTACCCAGCAGGAGGGCCGCGGCCCCATTTCTCACAGGCAACCCAAGGAGACAACGCAGCCTCGATGCGTCAGGACAGCAGTTCAGCACCTAACCCCTTTTTCTCCCCACAGCCCCCCGAGCTGCCGGAAACCCTTCTCCTACGACCGATGGGACGAGGAGCTGGATGCCACAGAAAGCACGGAGCGCTCATCCCACAGCCCCACCAGCGATGGCGAGACGGAGAGCCGCACCGCCGAGACCCCCGCGTAGCCCCCGCCACCCTTCCCATGGCCCCGACATGCTGGGCTCCTCGGGCCCCCCCCCCCCCGGGCAGCCACTGTTTCTTTTTTGCACGGTGAAGAAAAGGGGAGGAACACACTGCCGTCCCCATCCCTCGTGCAGGGGGGGCAGCCCACCCCTCCCACCCCATCTGTCCTCGGCGGCTCCATCGGTTCCTCCTCAGTGCCTGCTGTCTCCTTATTTTATAAGTTAAAATACCCCCCTGGACACCCCCCTCCATGTTCTTCATCCCCATTTAGTTGAGCCAAAGACGTCTCTGGCCAGGCCTCGGGGCCAGCCGCCCCACAGCCGCCCCACAGCCGCAAAGGGGACGTGGGGACGGGGTCCCCCATGGGCTCTCGCCTCCCCTATTGCCCCCCACCCCACCGGTTGTTTTGCACTACAGCTGTGCAGCCCTTCCTCCCCCATTTCCTTTCCATCCGAAAATAAAGAAACGTCATTTCTGGCTGGTGACGCCTGCTCTGCGTGCCCCGTTTTGGGGTGGGGGGGGGATTGGTTTTGGAGGGTGGGTTTTTTGTGGTGTGCAGGGCTCCAGCAAGGATATGGGGCGCACGGAGGGATGAGCCCGGTGCCATCCCTGTTCCCATAGGGGGGCTCTGCTTGCTGCCAGCTGCTGGCTCCATGGGGGCTCCTCGCAGCCCCCAGCCCCCACAAAACAGGCAGTTCCCACCCCTCTCCCTGCCATCTCTAAACAAATGGGCCGAGCTCGGCGCTCGCCGCCATTAAAGCTACGCTGCGCTAATGCGCTTTCATTAAGTGGGAGCAATCTAATGATAATAAAATGGCACATTTAACATTAAAACATTTAACTTGACTCCTAAGCGAGTGTGCCTCCCCGCGCTGCTCCGGCTCCATGGCGCTGGCAAAGCGCCTTCGTGTGCTTCCAGGGAGTGGCTGCTTGGCAGAGCTGGGCTGGCACACAGTGTGGAGCGGTGGGAAAGCAAGGGAGCCATGTGTGGGGGTGGCAGGATGTGAGGATGCAGGGGATCGAGATATAAGGATGGTGCTGGGATGGGAGGATAGTGAGGAAGCAGGAGGGCAGGGAACCAGGATAAAGGGATGCGGGAGTGTTGGGATGTGAGGATGGGTCGGAGCAGAGCACTGGGATGGTGGGATGTAGGGGAGCAGGGTATAAGGATGCCAGGATGCAGAACCACAGGGAACGAGGATACTGGGGATACTGGGATGTGGGGGTGCAGCTGCAGGGATGCTGAGGTGCTAGGTGATGGAGGGATGCAGGGCACCAGGCTGGCAGGCTTTGAGGACATCAGGATGCAAGGAGCTGGGGGCGGTGGTACTTTGGGATGCAGGGATCACTACAGGGCAGTGTGATGCTGCGTGGGCACAGCTGTGACACTGCACCTACAGAGCAGCACGGAGCACACCTGGGAAGCGGCTGATGGCGAATGGAGCCATGCAGTGGGATGGTTCCTCACCCAGGCTCAGCTCGCACAGCAGCTGCCCCACCACTGGGGCCAGTTTGAATCCATGGCCTGCAGGGAAGAGAGGGCTGGGGGTACAGCCATGCCCAAGGTACCCCCAGGGGGGCCAGGACCTACCCGAGAAGCCGGCCCCGATGATGATATTGCTGTACTTGGGGTGCTGGTCCAGGATGAAGTCTCCATCCGGAGTGTTCTGGGGGAGCGGTGGGGTGAAGGAGCGGGGCTTGGGGCACAGCCAGGACCCACTGTGGGGGCAATGGGGACCTGGGTCTCACCGTGTAGAGGCAGCTCTCCAGCACAGCCGGCTGTGGCTCCAGCCCAGGCAGGTAACTGCTGATGAAGTTGCTCAGGAGGGCGATGTGGGGATGGGGGGAGCCTGGGGGGGTCCGGTCCCGCTCCTCAGGATCAGTGGGGCTGCCGTGGTGGTAGCACACCTGAGGACAGCGCTCAGTGGGAGCAAACAGAAGGGACACCGCGGCGCCACCACCACCGTGCCACACTCACCTTGACCAGGCCGGGATACTCGAGGGCCGGCAGCCCATATATCCCATGTGGAGCGTAGGGCAGCCCCGTGGCCGTGAAGCAGGGGGTGACCGCGCCGCCGCTGCCGGGCTCCTTCTCCCTCCAGTAGCACACGTCAATGCGCAGGGGCTGGGGGCTGCACGTCAGACATGCTCATGGCCGTGCCACCACCTGCGGCCACCAGCCCTTACCTGCAGCGGCAGGCGGAGGCCCAGCGGTGCCACCACGGCGTTGGTCCACGCGCCGGCGGCGATGATGAGCCGGGGAGCTCGGTACAGCCCAGCAGCCGTGGTGACAGTGATCACTGCTCCGGGATCGATGCGCAGCACCTTCTCCCCATCACGCACTGTGCCCCCGCGCCGACGAAACGCGTCCTGTGTGAGCAGGAAGGGATGAAGGGATGGGGATGGAACACCTTCCGTGTCCTCCATCCCTGTTCCTTCGTCGGCACCCACCTGCACCGCCCGCAGCGCCCGGTCTGCCAGCAGCACACCTCCACTGCTGTCCCACAGGGCCACCTCGCCGGGACGGGGACGGAGCCCAGGGAAACGCTGCGCCAGTGTCACCGCATCGAGGACGGCATCGGGCCCCAGGCTGTGCCGGCAGCCCTCCAGCTTGGGGTCACCTGGTGGGCCCAGCACCACCAGCCCTGTCCGCCTGCACCCAGCAGCCACATCAGTGGCACCCATGTCCCTTGTTCTGTGTCCCATATCCCATGTCCTATATCCCATCTCGTGTCTCTTGTCCCATGTCCCATCCCTCAACCCGTATCCTTAATCCCATGTTCCTTGTCCCCTATTGTCTACTTCCTGTCCCATATCCCCTATCCCATATCCCACATCCCTTATCCCCTATCCCATTTCCCACATCCCCTACCCCCTATCCCACATCCCCTATCCCACATCCCCTATCCCTCATCCCCTATCCCCTATCCCACATCCCCTATCCCATTTCTCATGTCCCCTCTCATGCCACCCCCTTGGTTGGGGAAGCGGAGGCTCAGAGCTTGGATGATGCTGGGGTTGATGGATGACCCGTTAGCCCCAACCCCGCTGCAGGATCGTTTACACGCTTATTTCCTTAATGGTTCTTCCCTTAAAGAGCCCCATAAATAACTGCAGCTGCCTGCCCACAGCCCCAGCCCCATTCCCAGGGAAGGGGCAGTGCCCAGTGCGGGGTCCCCGTTCCCATCACCTGTAGAGCAGAATGCCTGCCTCGTCCTCCAGCTGCTGCCAGAGGCGGAAGCTGTGGGGCATCATGTGGGCATAATGCTCCTCTGGGTACGCGCTGCGTGTGATGCGGCTCTGCCCGTGTGAGCTGCCCCGTGAGTGGGGCAGGAAGAACTGTGGGGCATGGGAACATGGGGGTGGCTGCAGCCTCCAGGTGTCCCCCAGCCCCTCAAGGCTTGGGGTCCTGGCAATGGGGACAGGAGGATTTTGGATCTGAGGATGTAGGGGTTCTGGAACTGGGGACAGTGGGGTGCTGGTATTGGGGACAGTAGGGTGTTGAAAATGAGGACACCTGGACCACTGGCAATGGGGATATTGGACTGTTGGCACTGGGGACGCTAGGGTTTTGGCTTTGGGGACAGTAGAGTGTTGGTACTGGGGCACTGGTGACAATGGGATGCTGGCACTGACAATAACAAGATCACGGTAATGGGGACATGGGGGTCCTGACACTGGGAACATTGGGCTGTTGGCACTGGGTACACCTGAACCCTGGCACTGGGGACACAGGGGTCCTGGCACTAAAGGACACAGCGTCCTGGCACTGGAACACCATGGAGTGTCAAATGCCTGGGCAGAGGGCAGCCAGGTCCCTGTCCTGCTACATCAGGGCTGGGGGCACAGCATTGGGGCCAGGGAGGTGGCAAGGTTGGGGACATCAGTACCTGCTCCAGCAGCAGTGTGTCCCTACGACGCTGGGCCAGGTGGTACGCAGCAAAGGAGCCCTGGATGCCGGCCCCGATGACGATGGCATCGTAGGAAGTGCAGCTGGGCTGTCCCGGAGCAGCCATGTCTGTCCCCATCCTGTCCTCCTGCAGCTGGGAGCGGAGCCAAGGGGGAGGGACAGGGCAGAGTCCTCCGGAGCGCAGGGAAACAGTTTTTTTTTTCCCTCCAGTGTAATTTATGGCCCATAAACTATTTGGCTGCCATCTCCCTTTTTTTTTCTCCCTGCTGGGAGATAGCAGTGATTGAGGGCCGGGTGCCCAAACCGCCTCGTGGGATGGGAGATTGGGGAAGCATGTGGATTTGGGGTGGGATCTGGGGACGGGTGCTGCCGTCGGGTTTCTATGGGCACCTGTGCAGCGCGCCCGCTAACGAGGGGAATTCATTTAGAATAGAAGGATGCGTAAGGCATTATTTACCGACTAATGGTCACGATTAGGAAGCGCTGAATGCCATTCTTTATGGAGACGTGAGGTGGGAGCCCTCGCCCGGTGCTCACTGCGCTGCGGGCGCCTGGGGCTGCACGGCCCCATTACCGCAGCGCGGCCCCATTACCGCGGTGCGCCGCCCTCGCTTTGATGCCAGGAATAAATGCTCTGATTTCCTGGGGTTTCGGCTGGCTTTTCCGCCGGCGCCCAGCCTTTGAACAGCAGTACCTGCTTCTGCTCTGCGCCGGGAAGATGAAGAATAATTAATTATCCATGAAATGTTAAATGGGAAAAATTGAGCTCTTCTCCCACGAACGGCGCGTTAATGGGATGGCGCTTCGGGAAAGCCCCGACGCAGCTCCGGGGTGGCATGGGGACATCTGAGGACACCCCTGGGGACACGTGGCACGGCCATCCCCCGCAGTGCTGATGGTCACCCCCAGGGCAGCGCAGGGACGGGCTCTGACTATCGCTGTCGTGGCACGGATGACCCCGAAAGGCAGGCACCCATTGCGTGCTTGGCTGCACGTTGGCGTTTCCCAAAGGCTGAGTGCTTCCTGCTGGGTCATCCGTGCTCAAATGACTGCGTGCCCCAATAGGAGCAGTGTGGAAATGCCCACGGAGCTGTAGGGTGCTGGGATCCTTCCACCTGCGCTCGCCCTCGTTGGCCTTCATGGCCCTACGCGCCGGTTTGCTTTGTCTCAAAACCAACAGCGCCGAAGGCGGCCCTTCGTTAGCAGTCCAGGTGCGTGCCTGGGGAAGCGTCGGGGAGATTAAAATTATTTGAATATCATAATATTAGAAACATCAGTTTGGCCTCAAAACGCACATCTCCCGAGCCCGAGCGGGGCTGCGGCGCATTAAACATTTATGCAGCTACCGGCGGATCAAAGTTTTGGGTTTAGCTCTGGAAGCTCATCGCTCCCACCCGCATTGCAGCGGGACAAGAGGGGCCACAGAGGGACCCCCCCACCCCCCCGTGCCGCCCCTCGGCTGCCGATCCCTATGGAAAGGGCGTTTTTCTCCCGGATGCAGTGCACACAATCAGCTCCCCATGATGGCCCAAGGGTTGTGTTTGCCCCCTGCCCATCTCAGCACGCTGTCAGCGCGGAGAGGCGCGGCCATCTGGGCTGCCATGCAGGAGGGGGCGATGAGACAATGAGGCTGAGCTTTATTATTTTTGAACGCACGCAAGAGCTGCCCGGCAGCTCCTTGTTGGTGCCAACGCCATCTGCCTGCAGCAGGGATGAGTCCCTCTGGGCAACGATGGGGATGGGGTGCGGGATGAGATCCTGCCCACGGGGAATGGATGAGCAGGGTGGGGGAATGAGTGAGCTGCTCCTGAACCAGGTGCTCCGCTTAAGCACGATGAGCCCAGCCCTAATTGGGGCTATTAAGGGATGGGCAGCAGGGGGAAGGGGCTTCATTGAGGCTTCTACCCTGGAGATCCACAGACACTGGGGTTGTTGACGTTCTGGGGAGGGATGTGGGGGTGCAGGATGTGACTGCTGTTCATAAAGAATGGATGGGATGGGGGCTGTCCCTGAGCCAGGTTCCTTTGCTTGGTATGACGAGCCCAGCCCTAACTGGGGCTACTTACTGACGGTGAAGGGAAGCTGGGGGGATACCTTTCAGGCTTCCACCCACGGGGGTCACTGGGATTTTGGAGAGGGCTGTATGGGTTGTGTCCCCTCCCCAGTCCTTCACCTCTCAAGATTTTCACGCGCCGCACTCGCAGCATTACGGCGCTGGGCAGGGCTGGGGGGGGGGGGAGAAGTGCAGGGAGGAGCCCCCCGTTCGCCAGCCGGCAGGATTTGCGCGCGCAGCACTCGGAGCGTTACGGCGGGCGGGGAGGAGGGGTGGGAGCGGAGGAGGGGGTGGGGGTGGGCAGGGAGGAGCCCCCCCTTTTCCCCCCCCCCCCCCCGCCGCCGCGCGGCCCCGGGATTGGCGGGCGCCGCACTCGGAGCGTTACGGCGCGGCCGTGCCCGCAGCGCGGAGCTGTCCGTGGTGCTGAACGCCGCCGGCCATGGGCTCCGCGCCGCCTCCCGCCCTGCTGCTGCCGCTGCTCGCCGCGCTGCTCCGCGCCCCCGCGCACGGTAAGCGAGACCCCCCCCCTCCGACACCCACACCTCTACACCCCAACCCGTGGACCCCCCCTCCTCCTTTCGCCTTCCCCCCGCCACCCTTTCTCCGCCAAACTTTGCCAACTTGCGCTCACCCACCCGCCGTTGTCCCCCCGCCTCAAAATCCCCTTTCTGCCGCCCCGCACCGGGCAGCAGTAATTCCTTCCCCCCCCCCCTTCCCACGCCCGTTCCCCGGTGGCGCGGGGGCGCGCAGAGCTTTGCAGCCCCATTGGCGCAACGCCGCCCCCGGTGAGCTCTGCTGAGAGCTTCCCCTGCAGTGTTACCGGGATGGGGGGGGCCCTACCGGGGGCACCACTCGACGCCTGAACCCTCAAACCCCTTCAGGCTGCACCCCACTGGGATCCACTCTCTCCATGTAGACCCCGCAGTGGGGTTGGGGGTGTTTGTGTGTAGGGCTTTGCGCTGCTTGTGCTGAAGCCTCTGATTTTGGAGTGATGTAGGGAAGGGCGAGCGTTGGCTCTTCCCAAGGAGGGCAGCCAACACCCGCATCCTCTTGACTCAACGCGGTGTGTGTTATGGGAAGCCTCGATGCCTTGTCCCCAAAAAGCAGCAGTGGTGACCCGGCTTGGATGGCTTGGGTTTGCCATGGTCGTGCGGTGTGATGGGTGGAGAGCATGCGGGGGTCCGTCCCTGCTGGGAAGCGGGGTGATGGGATGCAGGCTGAGCCGAGCTGCAGGGAGCAGCCGTGCGGGGAGTTACATAAACTCCCCATCTGGCTGCCGAGCTGAGATGGAAAGGACGCCGTGGCCCTGTGCCCACTGCTATTCCGGGCTCACTCTTCCACCAGAGCTGATGGCAACGCCGTCTTCCTTAAAGCGTCTCCCATGCACCCCCCTCACGTGGCAAAAAGTGGGGCAGTGCTGCGGTACACCCCGCTGTGGGGCAGTAGGTCTGGTGGGGGGGGGCAGTGTCCCCAAATCCCTGGGTTCCTTTGGGATGGATCTGTCCTGGGAGTAGGGCTTTGGGCAGGGCGGGATTCCCCGGAGGGAGGCTGCTGCTTGCCGTGTCAGTTTAATGATTTCTAATGAGCAATTACCTCTAGTCAGTCCCCTAATTTCTGAATATCAATAAAGTTAATTAAACTCTGCATGTGTATTTCCTAGAGTGTTAGAGGTAGGGATGCCTGAGGTGCTGAGCTCTTCCTGGGGCTGGTTTGTGCCCACCCCATGCATGGTACCAGGGCCAGGAGCTATGCAGGGGGCTCAGCCTCCATCCCAAATCCCCACCAGGTGCGGCCCCAACCCGGCACCAACCTCAGTGCAGCACCTCCTCGCTCAGTGTGGCCTTGACTCGATGATGGGGTTGTGTTGTGCTGGGGACAGGGCACTGCAATGTGGGGATGGTGCTCTTAGGTTCCTGATCCAGGCCGGGGGACTGGAGATACTCCAGAGCAATGGCAGCGTTGTCATCAGCCCTTGCCTTGTTGTGACCTGTGGCTTCTGGTGCAGCTCTGCTCCCCACTTTCTGACCCCCTGGTGCAGCTTCGTGGTGCCGCTGCAGCAAGGGAATGCAATTCCAGGGCATGGCTCCTTGCAGTCTGAGGTCTTAGGAGCAAAGGGAGATGGCATGGCTGGGGGCACAGCTCCTGGTACTGCCCCATGAGCTCCACTGCCCCATCCGCGCTCAGCAGGATGCGCTGTGCCCACTGGGACAATGTACCTGGGGAGCACCAGGTCTGCAGTTGGGGCTCTGCATTCAAGGAGGGGGCCAGGGAAACAAGCAAGCAAGCAAGCATCTGCTTTAGTAATTAACTGAGCACGTGCCCATCCCCTGCGTGCCTCCGAGGAGTTCGTCACTGCTGTGCTGCCAGGCCAGGATTATCTGGATAATGCTCTTAAGCAGGGCAGGGGTGCCCCGTGGGGCCGTCCCCACTCACTCAGAAAACTCACGGCCACAGGCCATGCCCCAGGCTGCTGGCGTTGGGATGGAATCGTTCTGGGGCTCTGCTGTGGGAACCAAGGTGTCACCAAGGGCACGGCAAGGGCAGTGGGGTTGGGTACGGAGCAGAGGGACTCCCCTGTGGTGCTGTAGGACCCCCTGGGTCAGTGTGGGGCTGCAGGGTGGGCTGGAACCCCGCACATGGACGCCCCGGGAGGCGGATGCAGTTGTGTCTCCAGTGGATCCGGCAGGAGAGGATAATTTAGCTTCCAATCAATTCTTTAAATGCGCACAATTGAAAGATTGCCTTTGAAAGCTGCCTATAACCAGGGAGGTAATGGATTCTCTCCAGTAACAGGCAGCAGCCTCCCTTCCTCCGGCTGCTGCGGGAGATGGGGCAGTGACACCATTCCATGTCACCATCACAGAGCATCCCTAGGGACACGGGGTGGCCCCACTCCCTGCTGCCATGGCCCCCAGTGGGACGTGCCACGAGGTCCCATTGGCTGGCGTTGAGGACACGTCCAGCCTGCAGCCTGCAGAAGGCAGCCCACGCGCTCGCCGTGCCGGTGGGGGTTATTACAGATATAATTTAAATGCAGTAACGAGCTGTGCTGAAGGGATCAAATATTAATCAGCTGCGAGAGCGCCGCTGTGACCCTGTGAAAATGGAGAGAGGTGCTCAAAATGCCAGATCTGCTCATGGCAGGTGGGAGCTGTGCCGGTTGGGTGGGCAGTGGCTGGTCCCCACGGGGGTCCCCTGGGGGTGGCCATCACATCAGCTCTGGGTGGATGTCCTATTAGTGTAGGCCCTACACAAACATAGTGGTGATGGGGCTCTGGGTGGCATGTGGGGTGGGGTTTTTTGGGGGGAGGGCAAGGGTGTTTTTGGGGGTGAGGTTGCATGGGAGACCTCAGGGTGTGTTTGGTGGCCCAGTGGCTCAGTGCCTGTAGGATTGGGGTTGGGCTATGGGTTGGGGTTGGGCTGAGGGTAGGCTGTCTCGGCTAAGCAGCTGAACACAGAGCCCAGCCAGCAGCGCTCGCGCTCTGCTCAACCAGATTGCAATTCTTGTTGCTGGCAGCAGAAGGGGAGCCGGAGTGGGGGAAGGGGGGGGGAATCTGCTCCCTGAGCAAACCATCGCCCATACAAAACCCTGGTGCTATTTCTTGCAGCCCTGAGCACCTGACAGGATGGCGGTGGCCCCCCCGGGTGGCACTGGGGGCTGCTGCAGGGATCTCCGCATGTGGCTGCGGGGCCTTTTTGGGGTGCTGGGAGCGTGGGGAAGGGGGGGCAGCACCGCTGCAAGGCTGTCTGGCTCCGGCAGCGCGCACAGCGACAGCGATCAGGTCCGAAATAGCAGCAGACATGCAATTTATCATCGCCACTGCTCATGGAAATTGCTGTACAAATGCATTAGCTCCGCAGGGAGAGCGGGGAAGAGGGATTACATGGGGCAGGGGCGTGGGGAGTGCGAGCGGCATGGGGGCACCAAGATGTGAGGTGCACGGCTCCCCACGGCCCCCACCCATCGGTGGCTGCAATTTGGGGTCACTAAGGGAGGAGGGGGCTGTGCCATGCCCCGCTGCCCCCAGACTCCTCGCTCGGTGCATCCCGCGCGTGCCGGTGGTGTGTTGGGATGTCAGCCGGCCGCGGTGCTCCGGGGAACCGACTGTGGCAACATGTGACACGTGTCAGCGGGTAAATGACTGTTCCATTCAAGGAGAATGGCAAAACATACAAGGTCAAACGCTTCCCTGCGAGTACCGCCATGAATATTAACGCCACGAGCTGCTGGGGCTGCTGGATGCATTTGGCGGCAGTGTCTTTGGGGCAGCACGTTGTGGGTCCCCTCCTGTCCCTGTCTGTCACCTCTCCAGAGATGGGATAACAGTGGTGGGCCACCAGGGTGGTGTTGCCTGCGCCCACCCACCTGCTGCACATGCTCCTTTGGTACCCACCTGCGTTCTGCCTGCATTCATCCTTGTGCCAGCCCTGCTTCCTGCCTGTCTGTGCCCCCATGCTCTCACCAAGAGTGTCCCTGTCCCCAGACCGTGTCCACATCCCCGGGGACACTGAGGCAGGCGATGGAGGTGGGAGCTGCCAGCAGCTCAGCACGTCTCTGCCCAGCCCGGTGGCGATGATCGTGCCCATCAGGATGACTGGAGACCATGGGATGATGACAGGGGACCATGGGATTGTGGCTGGGGACCACAGGGCGCTGAGCATGGCGCCGGCTGCCTGACAGCTCATTCATCGCAGCAGCCAGCCCCGGCCGCAGGGGCAAAGCCAGATTGGATTTTAAATTGGAAAACAATCCTTCCGTGGCCCCTTGCCCTTGGTCCTGGCTGCCTACAACAACTCCACCGTCTTCAGAATGGGGAAACTGAGGCACAGAACAAGACAACACCCGGGGCAGCCAGGCGGCTCACCTCGTCGCAGCTGCTTTGCTGGGTGCTGTGTTATTGCTTTATTCGCCGCCCGCATCGATCCGCGCTCCCCAGGCGGCTGCGTGGCTGCTTATTTATTTATTTGCGACACCAGCCGCGATTGATTTCTGCTGGGGGGGCCGCAGACGGATTAGTCTCCAGCATCTCTCTGGCTCGTGGCCGCCGTTAATAGACTCCTGCAAAGCTGATGTGAAGGATTAGGACCCCGGCCCGGCCGCGGCCACGTGCCCCGCATGTCAACAGGCTCTGGAGGCACAGCACGGGGTGTAGCAGCCCCGTTTCCCCCTTCCCTGAGTGCCAGCCCCCTGGGTAGCAGGGTGCCCTGTCACCAGCCCCTTGGCCAGCTCAGGGACCCGGGAAGGACGCAGCCATGGTGGAGATAAGCAGCTTAGAGACACCCGCGGAGGTGGAGGCTGTAATCTTGAGGGGCATGGGTGGTAACATCTGGGCACAAGCTGACTTGGCCCGAGAACCCCGAGTGCTCCAGGGGTCAGCAAAACCCCAAGTCCTGAGATTCTCAGGGTACCCAGAGCATCCTGTAGTACCTGGAGCATCCTGTGGTACCATGGGTGTGTGATGGACCCCAGTGTCCCCGCTCACTACGTGGGGTGTCTGCGGTGGCTCTCATGCAGCACAGGACGAGGCCTGGAGCTCTAATCTGCCATTAAAGCCTGAAAGAGATTTTGGCGCCCTTCAGTATAAACTCATTAACTTTTATATTCCAATAAATGGATCCTATTAGGAAATAATTCTGGTGGTGCCGGGGGGCAGGTTACCCTTTTGGAGCCGGTGTGCGTGCAGAGGGGTGACAGTGGTGGCACGCGGGACAGGATGATGGCTGCACCTGGTGGCTCCTCGCACACCACTCTCCAGGGATAATGTCTCTTAATAGTCCCTTAAAAGTGGCAGTCACAGAGTAATTAATCTTCGCGGGGCCTGCCCTGCTACGGCTCGGTGTAATTACCTGGTAATTGGCAGTATCGTGTCATCAGTGCCGGTGCGCGGCACCGCATGGTGAGACGTTGGGCAAGGCGTCAGGATGCTGCGTGTCACGGGAGGAGTGGGTACACCTTAATGTGAGCTCTGGTGCAGATGTGAGTTAATTAGCCATGCTTAATTGCCCGGGCTTCTCTGGTGAGGGGTGTGCTGCGCTGAGGTGCGGCGGAGCCCCGCTGCATGCGGTCGATGTGCCTGTTTGCCGTCCATGCTCTGTCCCTGTTTACCCAGGAACGTGTCCTCAATAAAGCAATCAGCTTTATTGACAGCTCTCCACTGCAGCTCTCCTCTCCATGGCACGGCACGGCACGGCTCCTCTCCTGGCACCATGGCCAGTGGGACCCGGCGACACGGCTGCCCTGGGTGGTGAAGCATCAGCCCTGTGTGCACCATCGACCCACAGGGATGTGATAATGCTCAGGGTAGCACATAGCCCCAAGGTGAAATGCTGGGCCCCAGTGCCCGGAGCAGCTTCGATCTGTGATGAAGAATTGGTCCATGATGAAGCATCAGCCAGTGGTGCAGCATGGGTCCTTAGTGTTGCATCAATGCACGGTGCAGCATTGGGCCATGAAGAATTGCTACAGGGTGAAGCATGAGTCCGTGGCGTTGCATGCGTTTGTGGTTTTGCATCAATCCACGATGAAGCGCAGCCCATGGTATAGCAGAGGTCTGTGGCACAGCACCAGGATCCCCAGTGCCAGTGCCCAGCGCAGCATCAACCCGAGGTCCAGCACTGGTCCGTGATGAAATGGTTCGTGTTGGAGCATCAGTCTGTGATGCAGCATTGGATGACAATGAAGCATCGCTCTACAGTGCAACACGGATGCACGAGGGTGCAGCACTGCTCCTCATTACACCCAACTCTCTCCCTTCCCAGGCTTCAATGGGCTGGAGAGGAAGACAGGTGAGAGCGCCGAGGCTGAAGGAGACCCCACAGCCCTCCCCACACCAGCTGAGCGCGAGGCCGAGGCTCACTTTGTCAGCACAGCACCCACCCTGAAGCTGCTCAACCACCACCCACTGCTGGAGGACCTGCTGCACGAGGCCTTCCTGAAGAAGGACTACCTGGCCCAGGCACCCTTCCCACCTGGCCTGCCTGGCCCTGTGCTGCCTGACGATGCCTTGAGGCCGGACCCTGGACCCCCAGCTCCCCAGATCCTACCACGTGCCCCTGCTTTGCCCAGGGTTGCCTTCCCCACCGCCCCACTGACCACACCAGCTGGGCGCTCGGGGCCATGGGGGGAGCCCTGGGGGGTCGCGCCAGGTACTGACCCTTCACAGCCCCCTACTGGGGGGTCAGGATCAAGCTCCGCAGCCCCCAGCCGAGTGCCCACCTGGGGGGTCACTGGGGTCTCCGGGGATGAGGAGGGGACCACCACTACCTCCACCATCACCACCACCACCGTCACCACGCTGCAGGGACCAGGTGAGCACGGGAAGGGAGATGGGGGTTCAGGTATATGTGGGGCTAACACGGGGGTCTCCTTGTCACCAGCACCATGCAACCGGACGCTGGCAGGTCCCGAGGGCTGGCTGGTGTCCCCAGAGCCAGCCAGTGCCCCGTATGACAGCAGCATGGACTGCACCTACACCATCTCCGTCTACCCTGGCTATGGTGTGGAGATCAAGGTGAGATGCTGGGGGGCGGGCACGAGTCCCACATGCATAGCTTTGGGTCCTTTCCCTCTCCTTGTCTTCACCTTCGTGCCATGAGCCAATGTGAGCCAGCTTACGGCATCTTTCACCCTTGGATTATGGAGAAGAGACGTGGATGCATGAATTGGATACACCACCCATCGGCCTCTGGCTGCTGTGATTGGCACCTGCTGATGAAGCAGCAATATAGGATTTAATTAACGACAGCATTCACCCAATCTGGTATCACCAATAGCTGACAGTGAGCAGAATGCATTGGCACAAGGCTGCTGTTTGCTCCGTGCTCAGCCCCAGCTCGCAGAGCAGCACTCACTGGTGCCGCTGTTCATCACCGCACAGCACTGCTTAATTAACATCATTAACAGCAAATTGCTCCGGAGCACTGGAGCACGCGCCGGGCTGCCATGGGCCCAGCCGTGCCGCGGGGCTGTGCTGCTCTCCATGCCACGGAGAGATTTATGGCCATGCTAAGCGTGTTTGAAAGGCGCTGCCTCGCGCCGACAAGCTCCAGCGCGCTATCGACTGCGGGAAATCCTGCAGCGTGGTGACACCTCACCGTCCCCAAAGGTGCAGAACATCAGCCTGGCAGACGGGGAGACGCTGACGGTGGAGAGCGCAGGGGGCCTGGAGCCGGCGGTGTTGGCCAACGAGTCCTTCCTGCTACGGGGCCAGGTCATCCGCAGCCCTGCCAACATGCTCACCCTGCGCTTCCAGAGCCCCCGACCCACCAGCCCCGGATCCTACCGCTTCCAGTACCAAGGTACGGGGAGCTGCTGCCACCAGCTGGGATGGTCCCATCCCTTTGGGGTCCCCTGTCCCCGTGGTGTGCCCTTCCCGCATGACACCATTTTGCAGTATAGAGATGCCAAGGTAAGTGGGCATCAACCAGCAGTGTGGATCAGCGTGAGCAATGCTTGTCTCACTGAGCATCCCCAACATCAACAACATGCAGGGGCTGGGATTTAGGGTGCGGGACCCCCTCAACGGGGTATTACAGATGGGTCTGTCTGGCTCCATGACATTTCCACTCATCCTCAGCCTACCTGTTGAGCTGCCCCTTCCCGGCACGGCCCGCCTTCGGTGACGTCTCGGTCAGCAGCCTGCACCCCGGTGGGGACGCCCGGTTCCGCTGCACCACAGGCTACCAGCTGCAGGGTGCCCCCCTGCTCACCTGCCGCAATGCCACCCGGCCCTTCTGGAGCGCCCGCGAACCTCAGTGCATGGGTGAGCTCTGCTTGGGGACGTGGCTGGTGTCACCTGGGCACCCGCTGACAATCCCTGTCCCGCAGCGGCGTGCGGTGGGGCCATCCGTAATGCCACCGTGGGACGTGTCATCTCCCCGGGCTTCCCTGGGAACTACAGCAACAACTTGACCTGCCACTGGCTGCTGGAAGCTCCCGCCGGACACCGCCTGCACCTCCACTTCGAGAAGGTCTCACTGGCAGAGGATGATGACAGGTTTGGGTCAACACAGCATGGGAATAGGAGAGCGGGGGCACCCTGGGACAGCTCTGCACCATGTATGGGGATGGAATGTGTTAGCCGTGTTCAAGGGTGGGTGCTGTTGGCCACACTCAAGAATGGGTTCTCTTGTCTTTGCCTGGGGAGGGGGACCATTGGCCATGCCCAAAGATGGCTGCTGTTTTCCATTCCTGGGGAGGGGAACCACTGGCCATGCCCAAGGATGGGTGCTGTTGGCCATGCTGGGACCACTGTGTGGTTGGCAGTGCTGTAGGGTGGATGCCACTGACCAGGCCTGATGGTGGGCACAGTTGGCCATGTCCAAAAGTGTCGCTTGCCATAAATGAGGATGGGCACTATGGCCATGCCTCGGGATGAGCGTCATTGGCCATGCACAAGGTTCGTTGCTGTTGGCCATGGCAGAATCCTGAGCTTGCTGCATCTGGGCAGGCTCATCATCCGCAACGGGAACAACGTGGAGGCACCTCCGGTCTATGACTCCTATGAGGTGGAGTATCTGCCCATTGAAGGGCTGCTCAGCACTGGACGCCACTTCTTTGTGGAGCTCACCACTGACAGCAGCGGGGCTGCTGCAGGCATGGCACTGCGCTATGAGGGTACGAGGCATGGGCACTGGGGACACCCGGCATTGCCATGTACCCTTGGCCCCCACAGACCTCAGCACTTGTGCCCACAGCCTTCGAGCAGGGGCACTGCTATGAGCCTTACGTCAAGTATGGGAACTTCACAACCAGCGACCCACGGTACCCTGTGGGCACCACGGTGGAGTTCAGCTGTCACCCTGGCTACACGCTGGAGCAAGGCTCCACCATCATCGAGTGCGTTGACCCCAGTGACCCACAGTGGAACGAGACGGAGCCGGCATGCCGCGGTGGGCACCGGAGGTGGGGGGATGTGGGTGGTGGAGCTGAGGGACTGGAGCTGGGGTTGGGCACCATGGCTGGTGGAGGCAGCATGCCACGTTGCATGGGGGTAGGACCACCGTGGGATCCAGAGGCGGTGGTGGGTGCTAGATCTGGGGTGCCAAGGGGATCGTGGGGGATACTGGATCCAGGATGCTATGGGGGGTGCCATGGTGGTGGCTCACCATGGTGGGTGCTATGGTGTGTGCCTGCAGCGGTGTGCAGTGGGGAGCTGATGGACACGGCCGGCGTGGTGCTGTCGCCCAACTGGCCGGAGGCATACGGCAAAGGCCAGGACTGCATCTGGGGGCTGCACGTGGAGGAGGACAAGCGTGTCATGCTGGACATCCGCGTGTGAGTGAGGGTCTGCGGGACACGGGCCACCAGGGGGGGGAACACCCTTTTATTCCCCACCCTTGTTCTCCACATGCTGCAGGCTGCGGCTGGGCGCAGGGGACATCCTCACCTTCTATGACGGGGATGATCTGACAGCACGCATCCTGGGTCAGTACACGGGTGCCCACGGCCGCTTCAAGCTCTTTGCCTCCAGCGCCGATGTCACCATCCAGTTCCAATCTGACCCCGGCTCCGGCGTCTTTGCCTATCGGCAAGGCTTTGTCATCCACTTCTCTGGTGAGCCCCATGGTGGGGATGGGTGCTGTCATTCCCATGGTCTGCTCACCCCTTGCTGTCCTCACAGAGGTGCCCCGCAATGACACGTGCCCTGAGCTGCCTGACATCGCCAATGGCTGGAAGACCGCCTCGCAGCCGGAGCTGCTGCACGGCACCGTCGTCACCTTCCACTGCTACCCCGGCTTCGAGCTGGCTGGTGCCGACCTGCTCATGTGCCACTGGGACCTGACGTGGAGCGGCGACCTGCCATCCTGCGAGCGGGGTGAGCAGGGTGACACATCCCACGTTCCCTCCTGCCACCCCATCCCACCCTCACTGTCACCGCCTGTCCCTACAACCCACAGTCACCACCTGCCGGGACCCCGGGGACGCCGAGCACAGCCGCAGGGTGGTCTCCAGCCCCAAATTCCCGGTGGGGTCCACCGTGCGCTTCGTCTGCGATAAGGGCTACGTGCTGGCAGGCGCCGGGCTCCTCACCTGCCACGACCGCGCGTCGGGGGGACCCAAGTGGAGCGACCGCCTGCCCAAATGCATCCGTGAGTCGGGCATCCCGAGTGCACACCTCCGTGGCTGGCGGCACCCAGTGGGCGCTGACACAATGCCATTGCCCACAGCGGAGGCATACGAGCCATGCCACAACCCCGGTGTGCCCGCGGGCGGGCGGCAGAGCCCCGAGCGGCGGCTGTACCCGGCAGGCAGCACTCTGCGCTTCTCCTGCACTGCTGGGCGGGCGCTGCTGGGTGAGGGCAATCTGCGCTGCCTGCCCGGGCATCCCTCGCACTGGAGTGGCTCACCTCCCATCTGCAAGGCGGGTAAGCAAAACCCTCCGCCCTTCTATATGACTCCGTTTTCCCCCCTTGCTTCCCACTGATGTTGGGTTGTTTCTCCCCATCTCAGCCTCCTACGATGAGTTTTACAGCAATCGCAACCTGGATGGTAAGGGAGCTTCGGGGCACCCTTGGGTGCTGGGGTGCAACGGGCACCCAAGGTGAAGCAAGCACTGGGTGCCCTCGTTGAGCCCCCACTCTCCCGCGCAGCCGTGGCCAAAGCTGTGCCCTCGGGGACAGCACTGGAGGGCACCAATGTGGCCATCGCCATCTTCCTGCCCGTGCTGGTAGTGGCCCTGCTCATCGGAGGCGTTTACCTTTACTTCTCCAAGTGAGTGCCTGCTGCTCCCCTTGGATCCCCAGCCCCACTGCCACCTGCCCAACTCCATCTCCACCTCCTCCTATAGGCTGCAGGGGAAGCCAGCCCTACAGCTGCCCCTTTCTGGATCCCACCCCTATGATCACATCACCGTGGAGTCGGCTTTTGACAACCCCACCTATGAGACAGGAGTAAGCACTGGCCCCCACGTCCTACCAGCAGGGGTGTGCGCCCTGGGGACCAGGGGTAAAATGTGATGTGCACCCCAGGACTGTGGAAAGGATGGGATGTGCACCATGGGGACCATATGTGGGGTGGGATGTGCACACCAAGCGTCATGCATCCAATGGGCTACGTGTGCCACGGGCTGTACAGTGGGTGGGACATTCATCCAAGAGCCTATGCATATACGGGACAGGACATACATCTCAGGGAGCATGTATGGGATGTGCATCCCTGAGGCCATCCAGGGAATAGGACATAGATCACACAGACCATGCAGAGAAGGAATGTGATTCCCAGAGGCTGCACACACATGCATGGGACCTCCATCTGATGACGGCGCATGGGATGGGTCGTTCACCTGGGGGCACGTATGGGATGGGATGTTGAACCCTGTGGCCTGTCCCTGTGGTGCCCCCTGGGTCCCCAAGGATGGAGGGGGGGAGGCAAAGCACAGCACCAGTGAGTGTCCAACCCCTCGCAGTCTGTTTTCTTTGCAGGAAACGAGGGAATATGAGGTGTCCATCTAGGCGAGGGTGCAGCAGACCCCTCCCAGGATGCTCATGCCTGCCGGCCCTCGCCACGGTGCCAGGCTCACCTCTCGCAAGGAGATTCAAGCGGGAGCCACCCCACACACACCCCAACCCGCCCGGACCCCCGTGGGGTCTCCCCCAGCCCCACTGCCCCTGATCCCTGCTCTGGGTGGGCACGGGACGCTGAACCAGCAGGGCCACATCCTGACCCTCCTCCCCGGAGCAGCAGTTCCATCCCCCCCGGCCCCAGCGATGGAGGAGTGAGCCCTGGATGGTGCAGGCGCAGTGAGGAGCCCCCGGGGCTGCAGCCTGACGATGCTGGGGACAGGGGCCAGGTCGCGGGATGGGGGGCAATGGGGTGCCCTGGAGGGGGGGGCTAAGGAAACCTCGGGGTGCCCTCACCCTTCACCCACTCCTAGCACCCCGATGTCTCCCAGAGCCACCCCTGAAACACCAAGCATGCCGCGTCCCCCCGCTGCCCCCCCCAGCACCTGCTCGCTTCCCCCTCCCCGAGGTGCGCCCCGGCCCTGCACGTCCCAGCATCCCACGAGGGCCGAATCCGGACCCCCACCCCCACGGTGACGGGGTGGGCAGGTGGGGCACTGAGCTCGGCTGTGTCCCCACACCCCCGCCCCCGGACCAGGTCAGGCCCGGGGCTGGGAGTTCTGTCCAAGGCCGATGTAATATACTGTCCCGTTCCCCAGCCGCGCGTACCCTGTTTTGGAGAGGAGCCACTGCCCCTTCGCCCATCTTTTGGTTGTTTCATTAATTAAAAACAAAATGGTGTTTTAGAAGAAAACGTGGCACGTTGATGAGTGAGGGGTGCGGGTGATTGACACCGGGGTTCCCGGGGATTTGCGGTAGAGGTGACCCCCTGCACTCGGGGTACACCCCCTCTCCGCTTTCGGAGTGCACTGTAGCTTTAAGGGGCGACGGGGCCCGGAGCTGGGAAGTCCGCCCCGGCGCGCCAAACGCAGCGCGCCCTCTGCCGGCGCGCCATGCGCTCCGCCCCGCCGTGCGTCATGACGTCACCACGCCGCGCTCTCTCTCACCCCACCCCGGAACGTGACGGTCGCCACGCGCTCGATGCGCACGCGCGAGGGAATCGCGGGGCGAGCCGGGCGCGGGAGGCGGAGCCAAAAACGCGCGCAAGCGCGGTGCCCAGGCGCGCGCGCCGCCTGAGCCGAGAGCGGGGGAGGGGCGGCTGCGCGTGCGCAGTGTCGGGCGGGCGGCGGGGCGCGGTCTGCGCGTGCGCGGGCGGCGCGGCGGCGGCGGCGACGGAGGGGCCCTGAGAGAGAGAGGGAGAGAGGAGGAGGAGGAGGAGGAGAGGGGCAGAGCGCGGCGGCGCCTGGGCGGTGCGGGGCCGAGCGCTGTGAGGCGGCGGAGCGGGGCCGGCCCGGGCCCTCCTGTGCGCGGTATGGCAGCGGGCGCGGGGCCCCCCGCAGCCTCCCCCGGGCCCGGCGGCAGGAGGTGTTGGAGTCCCGGCCGAGCAGCGCAGCGGCCCGTGGGTTAGGCCTCAGCGCCGCCCGCCCCGCCTCTCCCGTCTCGAGGCCGCCCGGTGGGGCTCCGCCGCCGCCGCTCCCCGTCCCTCCGTCCGCTCCCTCGCGGTGGGGTGGGGGGGGGGTCTCTCGGGGCCGCTCCCCCCGGGCTGGATGAATGTGGGAGAAGATGGAGACGAAGACGATCGTCTACGACCTGGACACCTCCGGGGGGCTGATGGAGGTGAGGGGGCGGCGGGGGCGGCGGGGCTGCAAAATGGCGAGGGGACCCCCCCCTACGACACCCCACCCCCCCACCCGGCCCCGAGCCCCGTGGCCATAGAAGGAAGTGCGGCCGCTCGCCCAATCCCCGGTGGGGGCCTCCCGGGGCGGGCTCGGCCTTATCCCGGCCCCACCGAGCCGTGCGCTATGGGGGGCGGTGGGGGTCAGAGTGCGGGCGGCCCTCAGAGTCCTCTGTGTGTGTGTGCACAGCAAATCCAGGCCCTGCTGGCTCCCCCTAAGAGCGAAGATGGGGAGAAGAGGAGCAGGAGGCCCGAGAAGGAGCCCAGGAGAAGTGGCAGGGCCACAAACCACGACAGCTGCGATAGCTGCAAGGAAGGAGGGGACCTGCTGTGCTGCGATCACTGCCCCGCCGCTTTCCACCTCCAGTGCTGGTAAGGCTCTGTGCTCCCGCCCTCCTGCTCTGTGTCCCTGCGGTTGGGGCCCCCGTTAAGTGCCTGCCTTGGAACCGAACGGAGCTGTGAGCCCTGCTGTACTCCGTTCCCTCCCCCCCCCCCTTCCCCCCTTTAAAAGCCTCCAGTCCACACCTAAAACCCCATCCGGACGCCTTCATGGTGTGGACACGCTGACCCCAGGCCCTCCTTTCTTTCTGTGCCCAGAGGCCTAAAGGAGAACCCAGGCCTCGGTCTGCCCGCCGCCTTCCTCCCCGCCTGTACCCCACTTCCCCTCCTCTCTCCTCCAAACACATCCCCGTTCCTCCCCAGCCCCCCGGTCCCTGCCTTAAGGGGATTCACAGTGCTGTCCCTGTGCTGGGCCCGGCCTTCCCGGCGCTTCCGTGCTGCAGCGGCTGCTGGGAATAATGGAGGTTGCTGTCTCTGTGTCTCCCTGCCTCACTGTTTACAATATGGCGACCTTCCTTTAAATTATATTTTTATTCTCAGCGCCATTTTGGCTGCATATGTGACTTCCAAACCCTCGCAGCTCTTCCTGAGTATCTCGATCGTGAAAATACCTTCCCTGCAGAAATCCGGGGCTCCGGACTTCTAAAATTGGCACGGCTTATTTCTTTCCCTCCTTTTTCCTTCCCTCCTGACTCCATAGACACGCTTATCTCATCCGTGGGGAATGACTGTTGTGAATTTCGGGGTAGCCGGGCCCTCTTGCTTGGAGTTGTGCGGCTCGGTTGATAAAAGCAGATCTTTTTGCATGCAAATCTGGAGCTGGAGGTGCGCGGGGAGGCGGTTGCGACGCCGTTCAGTGGAGGCTGCAGCAGGGAGGGCTCTGGGGCCTCACCTCGGCCCTTCCCATGCACGCAGCACAAAGCCAGCCCTCAACTTTCCACAGCGGAGTTTTCCTCCGTTCTGCACCAGGAGATGCAATGGGGACTGCAGTGCCTGTTCTGCTCGCTCAACAGTTGACACAGGCTGAGGGTTTGTGTTAAATTAGCACAGCCAGAGTGGATAATGGAGTGGAGGAGGGAGCGGGGCGAGTCAAACAGCTGGAGCTCATGCTTACCGAGTATTCTTCCTTAGGGGAGATTTTTTAACCGCATTCCTTTCTCTCTTTCATGCTTTGGAGCTTTTTGTTTGCTACGCCGTTACAGCTGTCTCTTTCTTTATTTTTTTCACCTATTTTTTTCCCCTCTCTTTGCACGCTGGTTACGCCGCGTTTCTGTGCCGATTGCAGCTCTCTGAACACTTACTGAACTGATTGCTGATACCGGGAAAGCTGAGCGTGCGGTCGCAGTTGTGCAGGGAGTGTCCCGTTAGCAGCACACAGCCAGGCCAGCCCAACAATGCTGTAGCGAGCAGCCATGACATCATCCCTCGTGCCCCGAGGAAGTGCTGCTGGTGGTTGGGCACATCCTCTGCATTTACTAGAATGACACCGACCTTTTTTTCTTTCCTCTGACCTTCTCCACAGGCTTTAATGTAAGGGCTTTTTTCTTACACCAGATATGCTCGCTTTTAACTCGAGTGTTTGCTTGCAGATGTTGTTGAATGCATCCCGAGCCTTCTCTTGCAGAGGCTTCACGCTCAGGTTTTCGGATGGAAGGGCTGTGACTAATGCTGCAAAGTTTAATTGATTCCGAATCCTGGCTCATCCTAACTGTAAATGGGTCTGCTCTGCGCACGGTGAAATCTGGCTATGATTCATGACTTAATTTGGCAAGATTCTTATAGCCAGTGGGAAATGGTCATGTAAATCAGCCATCTAGAGAGGTTTGGCTGTACTCAAGTTGGTTACGTGATAATTACAAAAATTCTTGGGCTAACTAGTCACCCTTCAGGACAGAAGGTGCAGCTCTGGTTATTCCTCCTTGCTTTTATTGTTCCCTTCCTTGGGCTATCTCTGGGTGAGCACTCAGGAGCAGCAGAAGCCCCAGCCTTGGAGCAAACCAGGTTGTCTCAGAGCGATGCTTGGCTTTTATATCCATGTTTTCTTCCCCTCACCTTCCACATCTTGCATAAAGTAAACTTCCGTTCAGGATATAAACTCAGGCATAAAGGCAGCACTTGAAACTTCCTTTCTGGCTTTTTTTTTTTTGTTTTAATTATTGTTTTTCTTTAAAGAATAGCAGCTGTAGTGCAGTGCTTGCTTAAGTGGTTTTGAATAGCAGTTGAGCTATACTGGCTGAATTGTGTTGGCAGCTTAACTGTGCTTTTAATATTTATCGTAAGCTTTCGTGCTAGGTTGTACTTACTATCCATGAAGCACAAAAAAAAGAAAGAGGGCACTTAATTGGCCAAGGAATTGTAATCAGTCAATAAAAGGAGAGGTCAA